AAAGTGGAGGCTATGATTCAGTGGAAGCGTCCGAGGACTACTATGGAGATTAGGAGTTTTGTTGGGTTAGCAGGTTACTATTGGAGATTTATAGAGGGTTTCTCTCGAATAGTAATGCCTTTGACTTAACTGACTCGGAAGGATCAGCCTTTTGTTTGGATGGACGCTTGTGAGTAGAGTTTTCAGGAATTGAAGGGGTGATTGACTACTTCTCCGATTTTGGTGTTACCTGACACTGGTGAGTATTTTGAAGTGTTCTGTGATGCTTCTCACTAGGGGTTGGGCGGTATGTTGATGCAGGGAGGGAGAGTAGTGACATATGTTTCAAGGCAACTTAAGACCCATGAGAGGAACTATCTCACTCATGATTTGGAGCTTGTAGCTGTGGTGTTTGCCTTGAAGTCGTGGAGGCACTATCTGTATGGTGCGAGATTCAGTGATCACAAGAGTTTGAAGTACCTGTTTGATCAGAAAGAGTTGAATGAGGCAGAGGAGGTGGATGGAATTCCTAAAAGACTTTGATTTCCAGTTGATATATCATCCTGGGAAGGCGAGTATGGTAGCAGATGCATTGAGTAGGAAATCTATTCACATGTCGGTTATTATGATTAGAGAGTAGGAGCTAATTGAACAATACAGAGATTTGAGACTAGAGATGGAGGTTGTTCAAGATCACATTAGTTGTGGTGTGATCACCATAACTAATGAGTTCTTGAGATAGGTGAGAACTAAGCAATTACAAGATCCAGAGTTGTTGACGATTTTGGGATTGCTTGGTACCAAGAGGGCAGCTGGTTTTGAGCTTGGTACTGATGGAATTCTGAGATTCAGAGGTCAGATTTGTTACCTCAGGATTCAGAGTTGAAGAAAGCTGTTCTAGAAGAGGGACACATGAGTCATCTTAGCATACATCCCGGTATGACTAAGATGTATCAAGACATCAAGAAAAGTTTCTGGTGGTCTGGTATGAAGAGAGAGATAGTAGAGTTTGTGGCAACTTGTCTGACTTGTCAGAAAGCGAAGATTGAGCATCAAAGGCTTGAAGGGATTTTGTAGTTGATGGAGATTCCTGAGTGGAAGTGGGATAGTGTCACTATAGACTTTGTGGTTGGGTTGCCTAGGACAGCTAGGAATAGTGACTATCTGGGTAATTGTTGATAGGTTGACAAAGTGTGCGCACTTTCTTCCTGTCAACAAGAAGTGGTCTTTTGAGAGACTTCACAGTTGTATATTAGAGAGATAATACAGTTGCATGGACTACCTTCCAGTATTATTTCTGACAGGGATCCAAGGTTTACTTCTAGGTTTTGGCAGACTCTGCATCAGGCGTTGGGGACGAGATTGAGGTTGAGCTCTGCTTACCATCCACAGATAGATGGTCAGTCAGAGAGAACAGTTTAGTCACTAGAGGATCTCCTGAGAGCTTGTGTATTGGATCGTCTGGGTAGCTGGGAGGAGGTGTTACCATTAGTGGAGTTTACCTACAATAACAGTTATCATGCGAGTATTGGCATGGAGCCTTTTGAGGCTTTGTATGGCAGGAGCTGTAGGACTCCATTATGTTGGTATCAGGAGGGTGAGTCAGTGGTGGTTGGTCTAGAGTTAGTTCTTCAGACTACTAAGATGGTGAGACAAATTTAGGAGAGGTTGAGGGCTACCCAGAGTCGACAAAAGTCCTATGCTGATAGGAGGAGGAGACCTTTAGAGTTTGAGGAGGGAGAGCACGTTTTTCTCAAGGTGACACCCACTACTGGTGTGGGAAGTGCAGTAAGGGCTAAGAAGCTCACTCCAAGGTTCATTGGTCCTTACCAGATCCTTCGTCGTGTAGAGACGCTATGGGCCATAGCGACTTAGTGTCGCTGTGGCCCATAGCGCCAATCATTTTGTATAATTATTTTTTGCAAATAATCACGCTTTATTTTTATATTTTTGTTTTTATATTTTGAATTAAAAGTACACAAACTAAATAATTTAAATAAAATTATATTATTATAAGTAAATAAAATAAAAAACTAAAAACTGGAAACAAGGGTGTTATTATGGGCAGCAACACTACTTTTTTACGTTTTTTTTTTAATTATTAACTTCAATTCTTTTTTTCAAAATTTACAGGAATTTCTGACAGATTTTTCCGTCAAAAATTTCCGACGGATATTTTCGACGGATATTTCCGTCGGAAATTTCCATTGGAAAAATTATTTCCGACGGATTTTTTTTTCTGACGCCACTTTTTCTGACGGATTGAAATCTGTTGGAAATCCGTCGAAAAAAGAAAAATCCGTCGAAAAAAACATTTTTCTTGTTGTGGAGTGTGACTAACAGAAGGCTCAATTTTCTTCCATCAACATCATGACGTAGATTTGTAAGGATGACACACCATTTTGATGTTGTTTTACGTTGGTCCAGTGGTAATACTATCGTTTATGGTTGTGGAGATGTTGGTGAACTGTGCCTACATTGTTTAGATAAATATGAGAGAGAATATACAATTAAAATGCTTCTAAGATGAAGCAGTAAACTTACTGTGGCTCATCGGTGAGGTGGTAAATTTATAACTTTTTATGATATGAATTATTTTTAAATTATATTTTATATCAAATGTAACTAAATGCAATTATAGAAGTAACCTTTTGCATGGAAAATTAGAAAATTCAGAGATTGATTGTTTCATCATGTTTAGGGTATGCCTTCTTTGGTGTTATAGTAGATTAATGAAGCTTTAGTGGAGATCGATCCCTAATGGTCAGGACAAGAAGCGGTTATTATAAATAAATAAAAATAAAAATAAAAAAATTGTGTTGTAATGACACATCTTATAATGATGTAATATTTATTATTAAAAGTTACTTTTAATTATAATCATATTTTCATAAGTGTTAAAAAATGTAAGTATAAATTATTGTGACACATAATATATATCGTTCAATCTCATTCAAAATCAATATTAAAACTGTGTAAATATATATTAAATAAATTTATACATATATATATTGTATTTATATAATGATATTTTTTATATGTTACAATAAATACATTTCTTGTAGTGAGTGCTTCTAGTGACAATAGAACTAGATTGAGCGTTTGAATGAGGAGCACATAGACAAAGCAGTTGGTGTTGTTAATGAGTTGGGGAAGGTTGCCTCGGACAATGATGTTGAATATGAGATTAGTGGTATGATGATAGAAGTTGGTAGGGGAGCTAATGATTTCGAAGAAGGGGAAGGGAGTGGCAAGGTCGATGGAGAGGTGAGATTTGTATAGGTTAAATTATATTATTGATCCCTTTATTTTTATTGATCAACAATTTTGTTCCTTTTATTTCAAAATAAAGACATTGAGTTCCTCTATTTTTAAGAATCCAAAAACTTGGTCTTACGATTAATATGATGTTCATTGATTATTAAATTTTGGTGTTATTTGATGATTGTTCACCACTCAAGTGAATTTCTATATAGGGATGCAAATTAAAAATAACATAAAAGATCTTCCTCCTTTATATCTTCTTTTACAAGTGATTAATATTTATATTATTAATAAAATTCTTATTTACATTTGTTTTTTTTAAGTACAAATAAACGTCAATCAATTAAGTATAAATAAACGTTAAAATTTAATAATTAGTAGATGTTAATATAATGAAAGAACTAAAATTTTGTATTTTTAAAACTAGAAGGGCTAAATATCCTAATTTTAAAACAAGGATCAAAATTATAGATCCATAAAAATAGAAAGATTTAAAATGTAATTTAGTCAATGATTTTCTATAGGTGCACCAATTTAACTTTATACTTTAATTTTGACATTTAATCATACACCACCTAGCCAAAAAGAATATGAGACACAAGCTAAGGTGATATATCTTTATAACTGGACATGCTCCACGAATTTTAATACTAAACACACATTATTAAGGGACACCTTACACACTACATCATAACAATCTCATTTTCACTTAGTCACCAATCACCATGCTAGAAACTACTCTCCACTGTGTGCCACCATGAGGGAATATTCTTGGCAATGGCGCCATTTTACTATATTTTTTTTCTTCTTTTCTTTCTTCTTCTCCTCCTCTTTGGGTCTGGTTTTTGTTACCCAGATTTGATGCAATGGAGACATATGAGTGGGACTTCCTATAGTAGTAGAGGCACTTGAGTTTAGACAATGAAGCTAAAAAACATTATATTTTTTCTTCCTTCAGATTTAGATTCATGTCTCCACCCAATCTTGATTTTGTTTGTTTTCAATCTCTTGGTAGCCTTACTCTATTTTGTGATGGTAATGGGTACAATCACAGTGGTGACAATAACAAATATGGTCGTCAACTAAGTTGATGAACAATACAGTTAGATAAAGTGAATAGAAAAATAATGATTTGGTGTATATAGTCTACGTTAATAATATGCACCTCCTTTCAATCTAACCGATGATAATTATTGAGCATGGTGGACTTAATATTTAAGTTGATCACCCTAGAATTCATCTATTAAAAAAGGTTTAAATATGTTTTTTATCTATAGATTTAAGATAATTAAATTTGTTTTTGGTCATTCATATTTAAAATTATTATTTTTTAGTCCTTGTAATTTCAAAAAATTTTATTTTAATTTTTTAAATCACTAATAACATATTTGAAGGTGATTAATTAAAAAATTATACAATATTTAATTAATTTAATGTCATATCAACATGATTAAAAACATATTTTTTTAAAAAAAATCTTTTAAACTTGTGCATAAGTGGATTATTTTCTACATGGTAAACATAGGAAGCATCTAGCAAGTATGAGCGATTTATGTAAATATGAAGAATATTTTAGAAGAGTTAATCATTTATACATTAATAATTAATTAAATTTTTTAATTGTGTCATATCACTATTAAAAATAAATATATTTATAATAACATGGTACAATTAAAATATATAATTGATTGTCAGTGTAAAATTACTAGCGTATAGATGATTAATTTATTTTAGAATGAAGCAAGTACCCCTTCTTTGAACATCCTCTCAATCGATTTGTGTAGAATGTAGAGGAAATAGGAGATAGAGATGGAGATGAGAAGCAGTGAAGAGATAGAAATAGGGAGAGACATAACCCCAACACTCACTCCTCTCTCTTTCTCACTCCACAATTCCCATCTTCACACTCACTGCTCTGCTTGTTTCTCTCCCAATCCCAATCCCTATTCCCTCTTCTTCTGCTCCCCTCCCTGCTCCGCCGCACTCTCCTCCTCCTCCTCCGCCGACCGCCACCTCCCTCCCTCCGCCCACACCGCCGAACTCCGCGCCGCCCTCCGCCTCCTCCTCCGCCCCTCCCCCTCCGCCCTCCTCTCCAACCGCCGCATCCTCACAGCTCACCAAGACGACGACGTTTCCCAGAATATCAGGGTCGGCGCCAGCGCCGTTGCCCATGCCATAGCGGAGCAGCGCGGCGTCCCCTACGACGACGCCGTTTTGGAGGAGGCCACGGTCGCGCTCTGCGTCGTGCTAACGAACGCCGTGGAGGTGCAGGATAGCGAGGGGCGCGCCCTGGGAATCGCTGTCTTCGACCACACCTTCTCTTGGATCAACCACAGTTGTTCCCCCAATGCTTGCTACCGTTTCATCCTCTCTTCTCATTCTTCTTCGCAATGTGAGGGAGCTGCACTGCGCATTTCTCCGCATCAAGTACTCTTTTTTACTTCTAATTCGTTATCAGATTTTTCTGCTTCTCTGTTGTTGAGACGAGAATCGTGTTCTGCAGATGGGCAGTGGAGTTCGTGTTAGCACTAGTGAATTTGTAAAAGGTGGTGGCGGTGGTTGTTGTTAATTCATTGAATAATATAATTCTGTTTGGATATACTTTTGTAGAAGCACTTCTATGGCATAGAAAAAAAAGTAGGAAAATCTAAATAAGTTTTTTTATAAGTTAAAACTAGTTAGTTTATAAATAAGATTTTGGAGAAAGCTTATACCTAAGTTAAAAATAAGATTTTGAAGATGTTAAAGTAGAATGTTATTACAGATTAACTTATGAATAAGGTAATTATATTTTGTGAAAAAGCTTATTTCATTTTCCTTCCAATTTCTCTTATCTAGAAGTGCTTATAGAAAAGTTTACCCAAACAGATTCTATGGCTAATAAGCTTAGTTTCTGACAATTAGAAAATTAATTAGGTTAATTTTAATGCAGGCGAGTTGGGTTATGGTCCAAGATTGGTTGTGAGAAGTATCAAGAAAATTAAAAAGGGAGAAGAGGTTACTGTGGCTTATACTGATCTCTTACAGCCCAAGGTATGATTATGCTTCAAGTTATTATTAGCAGTACCATTGGTGTTCTTGGTACTGTTATTCAATCATAATTAGAGTTTCATTTTGATAATATATGTACTGTAGGGTTTAATTAAATGTTGATGTGCATTATTATGATAAGACTTCAATTTTAATTGGAGAATAACACCAACGGTCCTAATAGGTCTATGATACTTTGTGTAAGTTTTGTCCTTATTAATATGCATTCAAGTTGGCCTTCGTGTTGTCAAGTTAAAGGCTTTGATGAGCATTCCTATTATTTAGTTTAGTAATATTAGCTTTAACTACCATTTGGTGGATGGTAATGGGTATCAGAATATGATGCACTTGTGAACTATGAACATTCAAATTGAAAAGAGGATGCATGTTTGTGTTGGACTTGGAAACTCCTGTCACTCACGATTGAAGCATCAAATCTTTAAGGATTATTGGAATACTTAATTTTGTGGTATCACAGTTTAAATGTCCATGTCATTGATTCAGTTGGTTGTAGCAGTGACCAAAAAATGAAGATCCATGTTATTTATACTTCAGAAATCAGAAGCTAATACACATGATTAGGCAGGAGATTGCTAATTATTAATTCTATGGTTGTGCAGTCGCAACATTTCTGGATGAATTACTATGTCTTAGTTCATAAGCATGTAGCTTATCTCATCTGTTGACATAAATAAAATCTTATGATATCTTCATGCCTAGTTCTGAGAAACATTGCATATCTTGTATGTTCTTTTGTTGTATAATAGCACCCTGGAAAAAATGTTTCTCGAAAAGCAATAATTGCCTTTAAATATAAAATCTATTCCCTATTGGGTTGGCATATATCAACTACTTTTTGACTTCTTTTCTCATATATGCGTTCATTGTTTAATTTATTATATAATTGCATGACAATAGGAATTTAGGAAGTTGACACTTAAAAGCTAAGTTATCTGGTAAAGCATAAACGTAAATATAGTCCTCATTAATTAGTTAAAATTGTACTTTACCTTTTTCTTTGAGACGTTTTATAGTCTTTCTGTTTTGATTTTTGTTCTTGTCCTCCTTTTTCTTGACTCTTTATTTAGTTTTTTCACTTTCTTTATGGATCAGTTACTGAGCTTCTTGTTCTTTTGATCTCAATTTGTGTTTTTCTTTTAAAGGCAATGAGACAGTCGGAGCTATGGTCAAAGTATAGATTTATTTGTTGCTGCAAACGATGTAGTGCCCTGCCCTTTTCATACGTAGATCATGCATTGCAAGTAAGTCTTTGAAATTTGTTACTCTATTATACTTAGGTCAGCCTTTCCCTAACATTTTGTGGAAGTCACCCAACCAAGGGTTTTATTTGCCTTTGATGTGCTCATAATAATATGCAATTATCTCATAAATATTCCTATTGTGAACTGGGAAGTGGATCAACATCCTAATATTATTGTTAGAATGCCTCACATCTTGGTCAATTTATTATTCAGGAAATTTCTGCTTTCAGTTGTGATTCATCTAGTTCATGTGATGATTACAAGTTCCTCAAAGAGACGGCTGATAGAAGATTGACCGAGTGCATTGATGATGTCATATCAGAGTATCTTTCTGTTGGTGATCCTGAGTCTTGTTGTGAGAAGCTTGAGAAGATACTCACACAAGGTCTAAATGATCAGTTAGAAGGCATTGAAGGAAAAGCAGATGCTAAATTCATGCTGCATCCCCTACATCACCTCTCTCTAGAAGCCTATACAACACTGGCTTCAGCATATAGAGTTTGTGCTAATGATTTATTGTCTGTTGATTCTGAAATAGATATAAACCGGTTAAAAGCTTTTGACTTGAGCAGGACAAGTGCTGCATATTCTTTGTTACTTGCAGGTGCAACTCATCATCTCTTCAATTCTGAATCCTCACTGATTGCATCTGTTGCAAATTTTTGGACAGGAGCTGGCGAATCTTTGTTATCCCTTAGCAGAAGTTCTGGAGGGAGTGTGTGCGTTAATATTGGTCGGGTTGTTCCAAACCTCGCTTCTGTGACGAAATTCAAATGGTCGCAGTGTTCATTAATAGATAGGTTTAGAGCCTGTATATCAAGTGGTCAAATTAAAAGTGCAGATTTTGAGAATGTATCAAATGAGTTTCTTCATTGTGTCTCAGATATGACACAGAAAGTTTGGGGTTTCCTTATCTCTGATTGCCATTTTCTGAGATCATGTAAAGATCCTATTGATTTCAGCTGGCTAATGTCTACCAAAAGTTTCAGTGCAGTGGATATTGAGACTTGTGTTAACAAAACTGACATGTGTTACACCCATGGATATGAAAATAACATCTGTATTTTTGGAGAAGAAACTTACACTGATCATGCAGTAGCATGTATTTTCCGGCTTGGCTTACACTGCTTAGCATATGGAGGATTATTAGCTAGTATTTGTTATGGCCCCCATTCCCATTTGGTTTGTCATGTTCAAAATGTTCTAGATCATGAAATGAATTTTGTATATCATGAAGAATCTTGAAAGATCTTGTACAACACCTTGTGAAAAATCTGAGTGTTAACATGAATTTCGAATATTTTTTTATTTATTTATTGGGAGGGGTTTGTTTTGGTTTCCCAGAAGCTTGAGGCAATGATAAAGTATTGGGAATGCATGGGAGAAGAGATTAGATCTAATGCTCATTTACTGCATCATAGAGTAGGATGGACGAGACAACTTTATATTTTTATTTTAGCATTGTATAACACCATTGAAAGCCGTGACCAAAAGAACTTTGTGATGAAGGAGATTCGTAATTAAGTGAACTATTAGAGAATACTTCTACGTTTTTTCTATTGGATCTTTTTAATTCCAAATTGTCTCATAACTGCTAATTCTCTTGTGTGCTGGCTAAAATTCCAAAATCAAATAACTAATACCACACCTCCATCATGGTAATGCTACTGCTACTGTTAACACATACAACCGTTATTTCCTGGATTAGCATTGAAATGAGATGGAATATAAAAATCACTCTTAGTAGTCACAATTTGACATTCCCAGTACAATGACTTTCCAATGTTTTCAATTGTTTGATATGCAACGTCAATATGAAATGTACTTAAACTTGATCAAAACACATTTTCTTGTTTAAAATACTTAAAAGATTAATTTTTCTCAAACATTTTTTGATCCATAGGAATCCAACTTAGGGGGTGTATTGGATTAGGATTTTAAAGAACTTTTTTAGTTAAAAAAAATCCTACGGATTTGCAGAATTTTCATGACTTTTAAGACTTTAAAGAATTCTACAAGACTTTAAATCAGGATTTTAATAGATTCTGCAACACTTTTAAATTAGGATTTTAATGAATTTTACAGGGACTTTGTGAATTTTGTAGAATTTTTGTGAATTTTTGACATATGAAAAGATTTCAAAAAAAAAATTCATACATTCAAATTTAAAAAGAGTCAAAGACAAAAATAAAAAAAAACAAAAAAAAATAATGTCTAGATAAATAATAATAATAATAATATTTCTCTATAATATCATATTCTCTTAAATAACATTCATCCACATATTCATAGCTATGCTAGTCCTCCAAGCATTAGTGTCTTCTCGCTCTTGCTCTTGAGTTTGAATAATAAGCTCAAAAGTATGATCTTCATTAACCGGTAATGTTGAAGATGAAGGATCAAATACCTTGGTCATTATAAAAAACATGTAAAAATGAAAATATAGAAATATAAGATAATTTTTTATAAAAAAAAATCAGTATATTTGATACTGAGAAAATATTTAGATATATAAATTTTTTTATATAAACGGAAGTATTTAGATACAAAGAATATATATATATATTAGTATTTTAGTTATATATTATATGATAATTTTTTAACAATATTTATAAATATAAATTATTTTAACAAATATTTTAACAATATTTTCTTTTTTT